GGGGTGGGGGACATGCTGCAGAGTGTTGGGGGGCATCTCAAGGGGTGGATAAAGGTCTCACCCACGCTGCGCCTGGGCTGGGACCAGTAATAGGTCCCACTGGCGCAGGGTAGCGGGAAGCTCTCCCACACACTCACTGGGCCTTGACTAGGACTGGGTCTCTAAAACATAAGTAAATTTCAAAATAACAGGTAAACAACATAACTTCAGTTGCCTCTGAGACATGATTTATGAGAGAAGAAGGGAACTTAAATTCTACTTTTTAAAAAAAAAATGCTGCAGGACTGGGAAGATAGCTAGGTGGTCTAAGTGCCTGCCTGGCAAATGCAAGGACCTGGGTTCAAACCCTGGTACTGCATGCCATGCCAGACCCCAACCCCAGGTACACAGTGCGGGTCAGAAACTGGGCATGGTGGTGCACGCCTATAATCCTAGCACTGGGGAGGCAGAGAGAGAAGGAGTCTCTAGCACTAGGAGTCTGGGCTGTGTAGCAAGACCCTGTACCAAATAAATAGATTTTAAAACTTAAAAAATGGTAGATTAATGAGCTCTATTAATACACTACTACATAAGCTATACATTGTTCAATATACATTGTTTAATGTATATAGTCAATGAAAAGAATAATGTGTTTTTGTGTGAGATGAGGAAAAATCCTATCTATGTCTAGGATAGAGTCATCTGTGTGTTAAAGATTTTTCAAAGTCTCAAACAGCATTTTCTGAAGATAGCAACACTATCTCCTTCCCATTCTTGTTAGAGACAGGTATTCTCAAAATCATTCTTTCACAAAGGAGATGCTAACTAAGCCAGCATTAGTTAACTGTTCAATATTTCCTTAATACTTATGCACTGTTGCTTTATCTTTTTAAAGTTAGGTGTGCAGGACAATGCTGCCCTAACTGTTCAATTGCTGTCTCACTGATACCACATAAGCTATCCTTCTCTGAACAATATTCAGCTTTGAAAGTGGCAATGACACAATATAGTTTCATCAAATCAACTTGGAGCATAAGATATGGGGAAGGTGCATATGCATGTATTGTAGAGATAAAAAAGAAACATGCTGAAGATTTTTTAAAAAGTACTTATTTCAGGTATCTTTACTTACCCTAAAAGTCAAAGACTTCTTTGAGATCCCATCACTCCCCCTCCACAACCAATCCAATTCCATATCTTGAAAAGAATGTAACTTTGTAGCCTTCTATCATTTATGACAAGATATTCCTCCCTCTAATATTTACTTAAAATTGTAGCAGTTAAGATTTGTTAAAGACTTTCCTACAGACAAAGAAATTGCAGTTTAAATCTAGAGTGTCAAAATACTGTTACATGACATGATCTCTCTTATGGAGATTCTTACCACTTTGGAAGACATGACAGGCCAGTATGTTCACAATCTCCATGTAGAACTATTAACTGACATGAACAGCATCATTTTGTCAGTATCCTTCTAAAACATGTCAAACTTCCTGCATATCAATAAGCCTACAGTAAATATTCTATAGTGAATTCCTTTCCAACTGTTTAATAGATGGGTCATATCTCAGCCAATGTGTCAGAACTTTAATTTCATTTTCATTAAATATATTTACCAGCCACCAAATGCCAAGGCACTTTTTAACACACCAAAAAAGCACAAATTCCTTAGTGTAAGGTAGGTGCATGTTTGCTTTAATAAGAACTACTATGAGCCAATTAAATAAAAAATATTGTCACTGACATTTCAATATGAAAGAAAGAAGTGGTGGAAGAAAAAAATTCAGGAAAAAAAAAACTTTTGTAAGTGGTCAAGTCAGAAGAAAACAACTCTCTTTAAGAATTAAGAAGTGTTTTCAAGAGGGCTTACAGTTTGACCTTTATGTGCTTAGAGCCTAGCATAAAAAGAACATGGCACACTCAGGAAACACTGAAGAAACATTTGCTGAACTGACCTAAGAACTGAACTATGCTTATCTTTGCATTCAATCAAGGGAGAAAATGAAGTCCAAACAATCCATGGGTACAATCATGTTAGACAGCATGAGGAAAAGAAAGCCCTTTCTTGACAACAGCAGACCCTTACCTGTTGTTGGACTGGTACTTGCTGTACCACCTGTGTAGGCACTGCTGCTTGGCTAGCCACAGATGTTTGCAAAGTCACTGTCGAACCTGTGTCCGACCCAGTCTCTGATGTCTGCATGATGGTCTCTGAAATATAGGAAAACAGAAATAAAATGGAATGTTCTCCATGCGGGACAAGCTTCATTATATTTGTTCTTAGTATTTATTCTACACTGAGACTCCCAGCTCTCTTCATACCACTCATCCCAATGTACTGCCATAATACTAATCTTCATTTTTATTTAAAAAGTTTCTCAGACTGGGGAGAGAGCTCAGTAGTCTAAGCACCTGCCTGGCAAGCATGAGGTCCCAAGTTCAATCTCCAGTTCCATACACTGAGCCAGCCCTGGAACCCAAGGTGCAGGCAGTGACACAAGCATGTAATCTCAGCACTGGGGAGGCTGAAACAGGAAGATTGCTACGAGCCTGAGCTGCAGTAGTGATTAAATAAATAAATAAATAAATAAATTTCTCACTAGAACCCGCTAACCTGATATTATGAAGGTTGACTTTAACTGAGAACTGCCTTCCTTAGATCTCACCTCTTACAAATACTTCAAACTCTTTAGAAACTATGCCTTTTAATAATTCAACATAGTCTTAATTCCCACAACACAAATCCAATCTGGTGGAAACTACTTTCTAGATACTTTCATGGGCTATCAAGATGTTCCTGGAGTATAATATAAAACAAATCATTTCTAAAATCCTTTCCAACTTAAAAACTTACTATTCAGTGATATAAAAAAATTAGTGCATACCTAAAAATCAATTGGTATACCCTAAGTTAAGCCAAATGATCAAGTTCATTAATTTAATCAACTTTCAAATCTTGACATCCTTTTTGCTACTTATAAATTCAATAAAATAAATAATTTCTTTACTGTTGAGCAGGGACCGGAATTCTCATTTTCTTCCCTGACATGCATGGGACAGTATTTAATTAGTAGTCAAAAAACTATTGCACCATAGGTTAAATCTATGAAAGTATCACAAGCATTGATTTTCCTTCAAAAAATTCTTTAAGTATTTAGTTCACTCAAGCAGAAAATTAACCCTTGTCAGAATCTTTTGTCATAGCATGACCTCTTCCATTTCTTTTTCACCACATCTTCTATCATCTCATCCAATTCTACAAATGGACCTCTGAAGACATCAAACCTCCTTACATTTGTAAAGAGGAAAGAAAAGTCCACAAAAGTTAAGAAATTCATTCAGTGGGGACAAGTGAAATGTGGAACATTTTTTGTTTAACTTCAAATCTGTGCTTATTTTATTTGGAGAATATATGCTAACATTTCTTTAGGGGATTTGAGTGTTTTCTTATTTTTTTTCTTAGTCAAAATCCTAAGATAACATAATAAAACAATGCATTTTTAAAAGTATAGCAATGACAATTATCACTAATTTTTAACAAATGTTAACGAACCTTCTAAATGCTTTCCACGTTAATTCACAAATTAACCCCTGAAAGAACCTAATGCAGTTGGTATGATTATGATTTCTATTTACAACTGACAAACCTCAGGTATACAGAATGACTTGTGGCTACAAAATAAACAAAAGATGGAGACTATGGCTAGCACCTCAGTTACATGGGTAACCAATGTTCTGAGCCAAGATACGATGGATATACAGGAAAGCCTATCTACAAAAAGTAGTTCCGATTTTCCAAAAACTGAAATCCAGATTCTTACATGAAACATCACAAAAGGTGGCTTTTTTTTTTCTTAATTTAGCATTGACTGACAAACATAGATGCTCACATACCCCTTTGGACTACCATGAAAACCATGGATAGGCATACAAATGTATGAGAACAGCAATATTCATTACAGAAAATTTCTATTGAGAGCAATGGTTTTTAAAATTCTGAGAAAGAATACACAAGTTAGGAATCCTATCTCTGCCTCTTCCTCTTTCATCATTGACTATGAGGGAGGGGGTTCAACAAAAAGAAAGCAGAAGTCAAGTTCTTTTGATTTATTACACATTTATATGCTTGGATGCACGTGTGCTATGGCAGAGGACCAATTAGCAAGACTAAGGGCAATATTCTTCAAGACATGAGGAATAAACCAGACCATGGATGTTATGAGGTTTTGTCTGTCTCTCTTGCCAACACCGAGATGGATGGTAATCTTTGCTTTGGACACAGATGGAGATAGTGTGGCCAGTTATTGTTTCTACTTTAAGCTATCCAAATCAAGGTATACATACCAAGATACATATTTTGATTCTCTCTCTCTCTCTCTCTCTCTCTCTCT